ACATACAGTTCTGTGGGACTGCAAGCTTAAGTCCTCCTGGACACCAGAGCCAGGTAATCTTGAGGTGTCCTCTCGGTAGTAGCCCCAGACATCAGGGTGCCAGACAAATGTATGAGTTCCTTTCTGGGAGATACTGGCAGCCTGGAGCAAGGCAGAGGGACAGTACAAAGATGGTGTCTACCGGCCTCCATTCCCACAGTGCATCTTAGTAGGGCCCTAGATATGTACTAAGCCAGAAGTCTGCCCCTCAGGCTGAAACTCCTGAACAAGGAAGTAGGTCTGTCACAGAGGGACTTGGTGTGTCTTTCAGTATGCTGTCTCTGCAGTGCCCTGGTGGTGACAGCCAGCCAAGAACCATCCCCTGAATTGTTATCGTCCCATGGGATCCAGGAATACACACCCTGCTGGTCACCGAGTGCTTCGGTGATCGAGGACCATCCCCTGGGTGACAGCCGTAAAAGCTGGGGCTCCAGACACATGGACAAACTCCTCCCCAGGAGATACTGGCACTCTGCAGTGTGACAGAGGGAAAGCGAGAAGGTAGCACCTGCCTGCTGAGGTCTCTGGAAAGGATTATCGTAGGGCCTTAACTGTGTGCTGAATTAGATATCGGCCCCTCAGGCTGATGCTTTAAGATCAGCAGATAAGCCTCTTGCACTGAAAGCCCGGGTGCTTCTCAATTGGCTGCTTCTGTGCTCGTCCCTGGGTCGAGTAAGTCTGTGCACAGGCTTTTTAAGAGCAGTTTTTCAGTTTGCTGTATGGCCCTAAGGGTCTCATGGACAGAAACCCCATTGGTTTTCAGTGCTGAATGTTTTGGGGGCTTGTGGCTCAGGTGAAGGTCTTAAAAGCTGGAGTGCCCAATGTAGAGTACAAGACCTTTGCTTCTCAGGGAAAAGCTCCGGGTTTTGAGTTCCCTTCAGTTGCGGGCACTCATGCCAGGGGTGGAGTTAATGGCAAGATTGTGTTTCAGCCTCGCATACCTGCTTCAGTGTGGGTTTTTTCTTGTTTGCCTGATGTGTAGGCATCAATCTAGTTTTTAGGGTTTTTTTCCAGAGGACACCGTTCCATACGCAGCTGTAGATTTCATATGTCTGTGGAAGGAGGTGAGTTCAGGATCTTCCTGTGACACCATCTTGAACTGAAACCTGCCTTTCTCCTTAAATAGGGAATGCTGAATGCCAACTTCTCTTTTTAAGGCGCTGAGCATGAGGTTATGATAAAACAGAAAAGACAGGCTCCTGGACCTCACAGAACTTACAGGTTAGCAGGGGAAAGTGGATATGAAATTAATAATTACATAATTGAATAACAGCATTGTGAGTTCTGTGAAAGAGTGGAGTACTAATCAATTATCTAATAGGAGATAACAACCTAGTTGGGGTGAGAGCTGGGGAGAGTTTATGAGATCATTTGAGGCCCAAGACAGGGATTCAAAAGCTGAGACCCAGGCATGTCCAAGGACCTGTGTTCCTCTTGGTGTCTCTTGTAGATCTCTCTGCCTCCTACCATCACTGGTCATGCTCTCCCACTGAACTTCTTGACATCCTAATTCCATGCATGGCTCCTTCCTAATCCTCTCTAATTTCCAGTTTTAAAGTTAGGAGAGAGGCAGAGGCCCTAACTCACAGATTGCTGGTAGACCTGGGCATGGATTCCTCTTGGGTGAAGTGTCAGCCCTGATTTAAGAAACTGAGATTCAAGGTCAGGGCGAGATGTTAAAAATATAGGAAAAAGAAAAAGTCTGGTAATGAGCATTCATTCATTCAACAAGTACTGAATGTGCCAGATGTTGGGGAGGGTATGGCCTGGAATACATGCTCATGAACTTGTAGTTCACCAGGGAACACACTAAAAAAACAGGCATAAGTGCTAGGTGTGCAAAAAACAAGGGCCCACTGAGCCTTTCCCAAGAAGGAATTAGGCCTGAACGGTATCCAGAAAATTGAGTCGATTTGCCAGAATGCAGGTTGGGCCAACCCGAGGGGTGGGGGTCGGTGGGGGGAGGCTGGGAGAGGGGTTGCCGAGGGGATTTGCAGGATGGCGGGACAGCAGTGTGTAGCACAGGAAGGACTTCCCAGGAGCCTGAATGGAAGAGCAAAGATGTGCATATGTGCTAGAGTCAAGGGTGAAGACATGGATGGTGGGAGAGGCAGCCAAGTGGAGCTTGGAAGGTGGGACAGAGCCATGGTTCTCAGATTTTGGCATGCATCAGAATCACCTAGAGGGTTTATTAAAGCAGATTGCTGCATCCCACCTCCAGTGTCGGAGTCTGTCTGTATGAGAAGGTGCATTTCCATCAGGTTCCTGGGTGATTCTGGTCCAGAGACAACACTTAGAGCTGCACTGGGTTAGAGGAAGGCTGAGAGTAAGGGGACCGGCCAGGAGTGAAAGGCGGTGCTGGGAGAAAGGGATTTATCGTGCTCGTCTCTTTACATAGAGTCGCAGTCATTTCAACAATTCTGAAATGTCATCCTTATTCTAGAGTAAAGGAAGCACAGAGAAGCAAAAATCTATGCCCATGGCCAGTTAGTTAAGTGACTACGGCTAGCCTAAGACACAAAGCCTGTTCTCAGCCACACTGGAATGGACAGTGAGTGGTGATTGATGGCATGGTGGTGGGGGCCAGAGCAAGTAAGGGAGACAGAAACTTCATGGGACTTCCGGCTTTCTGATTTGGGCAACAGGGTGGTAGATGTCATTGCCTAGAGCGGGTTCATTTTGAGAGACCTCAAACTTGGGTTTGTCTTTGGGGTTAAGACTAGCGTGTTAATGCTTTCTGAACAGATACAGATGTCCAATAGACAAGTGGATTCAAGAGTCTGGGGGCTCAGGAGAGAGGACCAGACTGAGGGGTTGGAAAGCATCATGTGGGTGATGTCGTGTTATGAAACCCCAGGAATATGAGGCAGGCAGGGGAAGGGAATGGGGACCTCCCTGAGGAAATGAACAGCCAAGGAGCAGGTGAAGAGGAGGCTGAAAGCTAAGGATTGGGCAGGGATGATGATGATGATGGTGGAAAGACAGGGGGTCTGGTTTCAGGAAGTGTGTGATGGGAGCATCAGTGCTGTAGAGGCCAAGTAAGGACTGGGATGGGCTGCTGGATCTAACAAGCAGGTCAGTGGTGACCTCAAGCAGGACAATTTCAGTGGACTGGTTTTAATGGGAGCCAGGAGGTGGCAGAGGGATGATTAGGAGGTGAGCAAGTCGAGGGAAAAGGCTGGTCGGGATGATTCCATTGCAGATTTGTAGGGGTGGACAGTATCTGGGGTCAGTATTCAGGAGCTGTTTCTGTCATTTTTCTGGAGCCTAACTTAGCTACTACGGACGGGGCTTAAGGGAGAATCCGAGTGCGAAGTAGGAATGAGCCCAGTCATTTAGTCTTGCCTTTAGAAAGCTTAGATCTGGCCTGGTTTGGGTACCAGTTTTACCCATCACTTAGCTGCTTCCTCTAGAGCAAACTTTTGGCTCTAAAACTTTATTCAGAGGATTGTCAGAAGGTAGAAGTGTTCCTGTGGGAAGGGGACGGGAGGTTCAGAGCCTCCCCTGGTCCTGCTCCACCCTCCCTCTGGGGGGGTCTCGAAGCCTAGGGCTGCTTAGAGCAGTAAGAAGCCCTGGCCTGGAGGCCACCTGGGGTCACCCCCGGTGTCGACCGTCGTCAGGCCACTGACCGTCATCATAGTGGTATGTGTGTTCACTGGTCAGTTCTCCGGCGGTGCCAGAAAGCAGACCCGCGGGGAGTAGGGGCGGGGGCGGCCAATCTGCCAGGGCTGTGTGGGTTTAAGCACATGGCAGGGGCTTCAGGCCACCATGACAGCGGTGAAGCCCAGCATGTCCTCCAGCAGCCAGTTACCACCTGTCTCGTGGCCCAGGAATCCTGACAACTTTCTCTTCAGCTTCCTCCTGGTTTCCTTATACCGGGCTGAGCAGATGGCTCTCTTTAAAGATGATTGGCTTACAAGTGCAGAGCTCATCCTGGGGGAAAGTGCCCCGAGAAAGGAAGAATGGCGGGGTTAGACTAAGGGCAGACCACCCAGCCCTCCGGCTGGAGGAGGTAGGGACAGTGACAGCCAGTATGTGGGAATTACCTGTCTCCCTTCCCGTCCCGCCTGCACAGCTTGGAAGTGAGTGGCAGGCGAGGGGCATGAGCAATGAATTAAACTTCCAGAGGAGAAAAAGTACTTGAACTCGTTCTCTGATCACCCACAGACCACGCTCTCTGGTGCCAGCAGTAAGGACCCTGGATCGTTAGCTGCTGGAAGCAAGGACAGCCTCGGCCCGTGCTCGTTCACAGCCCTCAGGCTGCAGTCCGGAGCCAGGATGCGAGGAGGGCGTTTCACGCTCACTCTGAAAGCAGGCCTTCTCAGACTTGACCCTGAAGTGAGATCTCCTTACCTTTTTTTCTTAAGTGCCTTCTGGCACATAAGCACTTTCTGAAATGGAGCCATTTGCCGCTGCATTAGGACCAAGCTCTGTGAAAGGGAAGCGCTTTGTGAGACCCACACCGGCCACAGGACGGTGCACACGCGGGTTTCTGCCGCTCACGCGCACCCGGGCCTCACGACGCTCGAGGCTGTCGTGGTGGGGACGCGAGAAATGGCAGGTGGGCTGCGGGCTGGGACCAGGCTGGCAAGAGTGTTACTCCACCAAGCGACTTAATCTTTCACAGGACGTGTCTTTCCGCCAAGCAGCAGAGGATCGGTGGCAGGTGGAGTTAACAGCTCCCCACCCCCCCCCCGAGGTGGCCCACGGGAGAATGCATCAGGGAAGTCCATCTCCGAATCAGAGAGCCTGGGCACACAGTTTCCTCTGAACACTGGGACTCCCAGTCGCCTAGCGAGCCGATGAAGCCAGATGGCCGGTTAGCTCTGGTTCCGGGGGTCTGGGGGTCGCCCTGCTCGCCAGTCCCCGGTCGGCGCCTGTGCAGCTGCCGGTATCCGGCTGCGTGCTGGGACCCGCACTCACACATCCGGGCCTCAAAAGGGATGAGGGCACGAGACCGATTCCGTTATAATAGCCATCTTTATTTGTAAAAATCCAGATATAAAATGTATTCTTTCAGTCTTTCCAAGTTTTCCTTTTTACAAAAACAAAAAGGCACATAAAAACCATCCCCGCGGTCATTCCCATAGACGATGTTTGTCAGGCAGCCCTCCCCCCTCCCCCCCCATATAGCTACATGCTTCATTCCGGGACGTCTTGCTTCCCCCACATGCTTCGGTGCTTTCCTACCAGGGTAGAATTCCGAATTCCAAGACTGAAGTACACAAAGAGGGGGTGGGGGGTCGGTGCGAAGTGTGTGGCGTGATGCTCCACGGCGTGCAGGACACGGGATCTAGTAGTAGGTTTCTTTCTCTACCCAGCCTGGAGGCAGCAAAGAGAGACAGACACACGGCAGTGAGGCCTCCTGGCTCTAGTACACAGGGGGAACGACAGTGACAAGGAGCGACCCTGGGGGGGTGGGGGGGTGACAAAGCCCGGGACGGGGGGAGGTCACCCAAATTCAATACTGGACCTCAACTGTTTTTATTCAAATGTTTTTAGAAAGGACATGTTAACTGCGAAGATGGCTCTGATTTCTGACCAACTTTCCACCGTATCATATTGGGTTTTAGCAGAGTCTAAAATAGGATTGGTTCTGAAACCCTCTGGGGATGGGACGGTGGCTGCAGGCAGTCCAGAGGCCTTAGCCAACCAGACTGATCAGAGGAAACAAGCCACAGAACCATGGCCTCCCCCACACCCCTGCTGAAGCTAAAAGGTCTGTACTTACCGCCAGGGCGTCGCCTGATGATGAGTTTTCGGACTTCGTCGTACACGAAGATGAGGAGAGAGTAGGGGAAGGCACAGAACCACCAGGTAGGTCTGGAAAAGAGAAGCAGGTACCAATTTACACATGAACACAATTCAGAGGAAAGAGAAACTGTATCATCAGCGACAGTGGAAGAGCCTGGAAGGAGGAGCCAAATATGGTCATGACTAACCACTGAGCCTTTAGCATGGACCACACGGCAGGGTCCTGAGAACAGAATGCTGCTCCCTATGCCCAGGGCCTAGAGGGGCAGAGGAAGGCAGACTGCAGACTTTCTGAAGGAATCCCCTTCCCACCTTCAGTTTGCTTTTTTTAATTTGGTTTGCAGGGGGGAGTTGAGATTTTTTGGTTGACCATCCCACAGCAAAGGGACATTTTCTTTCTTCCCTTTCTCAAGTTCTACGTCCTGGCATCTGCTGATCAAGAACCGCCAGTGTGGCTCAAAACCAGTCTCTCTATCCCTTGCATACAGTCAGCTGTGTGTTGAATCCCAGTGCTGGGGAATGAAAACAGCCGAGCCCTAAGAGACAGCAGAGGCCTTTGGGAGCCTGGCGGGCTGCTGCCACAGTCCCCACCCGGGGGACAGGCTGTGCTTCCCTGACGACCAACTTCTGCGGTCAATGTGTGAGGGAGGCTGTCCCAGGACAGAGGCCTGGCACGCTCCTCTTCTTCCTGGTGCTACGCGTCCTCCTCCACAGCTAAAAGAGGACCTCCTTTGACTCGGCCACACAGAGTAACTAAGCCACCTTCCAAATTGGGTAGAACCTGTTCAGGAACAAGCTCTCCAATCAGAATAAAACATGGCCTGAGGCACTACTCCATTTCAGGGTGACTCCATCTCAGCCTTTTAGAGAGCTGGGTTCTCCTACCCTCCTCTTGACAAACTGGCTCAAGCTGATAGAATTCAACTTGGACAAGGCTTGCCCCTGGTGTACGCCAGCTCTGTATAAGGTGCCGGGGATACAAAGTCAAAAAAGATCCTATAGTCCATGCCTTAAAGATTACAACCTAGTGGGGAGCAGAAATGACAAGTAATAGCAAAAAAGGGGTGTGACTGTGCATGTCCAGGAAGGCGAGATCACACAGGGCAAGCTCCGGGGAAATTGGCCCTGAAGGACTCTCTGGCCTGATGGGGTGGGAGGGAGCAGCCTTACCAAGGACATACGCTGGAAGAGAGAGTATGGAATTCATCTGACAAGCTTGGATGGCTACAAGACAAAGCTGAAAAGACAGCTCCGGCAATAGCGGACAGACCCTAGATGCCAGGCTACCCTTCCACAGAGAATGTCTGTACAGACCCAACAAGATGCCAGTGAGGCCCACAGGGATTGGCTACTTCAGGGACGGGGTCAGGCTACTGGAATTTGCACTTCTGATAAACCTGCATTTTTCACATATAGGGTTTACCACAAAGTCCTTCACTGTGTTTAAAAAGGCCCACTGGTTCTGAGCAAAGTTAGTGGTGGGCTTCCTTTGGTCTATTCTACCCATGACCCACCTCAAGCCTGCTTCTCCCACCTCCTTCGGGAGCAGAGGATTCAGAGGCCCACAGAGGTGGGGGCCTGTGATGGGACACACAAGGGCTAGGTAAGTAAATCAAGATTTGAACCCGGTCCCCTAAGCCCCAGGCTACTAATGACGACCGACTGTTGCCATGGGGGACCCGAACATGGCACCCAAACACTCAACGCAGTTAGCTGGTGAGCCACCCCAAGGTACCAGAGCCTGTCTGGCCTGATCTTAGCCAAATCCTAAGCACCCTGGTCAGTCCTTCCTGATTTCCAGACCAGAGAAATTCTTGTACATGCCACCCTTAATCCCTAAAAATAATAGCTACTAGCGCACGTCACAAGAGAAGGTCCACTTCTATTTCATGCTTTATGGAGCTGGATGAGGAGTGACTTACTTGAGGGGGTACATCCTCAGGGCAACACCCATTCCAGGGCAGTAGGAAAGGAAAGCAGCAAGGGCCGTCTCTTCAAAGAGGCCAAATATTAAGATCTTGTTCCTAAAATCAAGGGGAGAAAAAGCTTAAGAACACAAACAGGAGTTTATCTTTTAATGCTATGTGTTCAACGGCAGATCAATGTCTTTACGTGTTAGTTGTACTTAGGAACTTGAGGGCAGATTGAAAAAAAAAAAAACAAATGCTGGAGAATTACATTTTGCTTCCTAAATCTGTGCCAAAGGGGAGATTCCAGAAACTGCCATGTGCCGGGGGCCAGGATTTTGCAAAGAGCTGAGAGACCAGGAGCCCTGGTCTGAGGGCCCCAACTGTCCTCTACTCACTTCATCCCCTGTTGGAAGACAGAGTTCCTCCTGGTCTTACAGATGACCAGATCAGCCCACTGCACCACCACGATGCTGACAAAGAAGGCTGTGTGGCACGTGAACTCCACGATCTTCCTCTGTTCGTAGGTCTGGAACACGGAAGGCAGACAGATGAGCCCGGCACTTGGCCTGCGCGGCCGGCAGCTGAGTAGCCACCGTCCTCAGGGATCTGAGGAGCGCCCCACTGGTCAGGCCCTCGCTCACCCACTGCTGCCCGTAGCTGTCCTCCACATCGTTGACCCAGCGGTCATCCCAGTCCACTCGGATGCCCAGCAGGTGGGTCGGGAGGAAGCCGTTCTCAGCCAGAATCACAAAGTATGTGAAGAAGCCCCCCAGGGCCTGGATCATACCTGCAAGTGTGCACAAACAGTTCTCACCTGGTTCCAGGGCATCTCTGCACACCCTTCATCTGACTGCCACAGCAGGCCCCGGAGGGTACTCTGGGGCGGTCTTCAGCACTGGCTGAGAGATGATTGGGAGGATGGGAGGACCCCAGGGGCACAGCCCTCACACGGCACCCTCTTCTCTTTTTTGAGTCACTTTTTAGAGCTTTCTTTAAAAGGGGAAGACACATAGGCCTTGCTCTGAAACACCCACTGCTATCATATGATCATGTGTCTCTATCAGGGCAGAGCCTTTTTAGGGGAAAAATGCTTCCCTATTTTTTTTAATCTCTGCTACAATGTGACTTCTTTCCCATCTCAGTTTTCACACATTCCAAATAGTGAATGTGGCACCTTCCAACCCCCTCCCCTCGCCCCCCGCATCTGATCCCACCACACCACCCTGAGTTCCTCAGGGCAGGATTTCATCCTATGCTCTGACCCTAAGCCTCCTTCTTAAGAGTCAGGTCTTCCTGGCCATTAGCCAACTCCTTGTCAGCAACTGTTAACCAGTCTGCCATATTTCCACAATGTACTCATCTGTTCCATTCTACCCAAGTGTTCACAGTGATGCAACCCATTAATCCAAAGGCCTGGGCTGCTCCTGGTGGCCTCACTGGGTTCTCCTGAAGGCCACTAGGCAGAGCATTTAGGATCCCAGGGCATTTTCAATGCCCACTACCTAGAGACCATCTGTTAGCTGGTCAAGCTCCACTGGTAGAGCGGGAATCAAGCCCTGGGGGTGGGGAGAGTGGGGGTGCAGGGCTATCACTGGGTGGTGACCCGCCAACCAAACCTTCAAGCTCATGTGGTTTCTTCAAAGCCCAACTCTATCCAAATTAGTGCCCGACACTCTATATCCCCAGGGGACACCGCCTCTGAAGGAACTGTGCCTGGCGTTCCGAGGGGCAGCCCCCATTCTTAGGCAGCCAAGCCCCGTCTCAAGAACTCCAGTCTCCACAAGGAAGTAACTGGGCAGACAGCAAAAGATTTCTTCTCGCTCAGGAGAATCTTGTACAAAATTCCCCTGCGTCTCACCCTATGCTCTGCCTCCTGCTAGATCTGAAGCCTGAGAAACCAAGCCTGGCTGAGCCCCCCTCCCCCCCAACAGACGCTTCCCGCTAAGTGCCAGGGGCCTCGGCGGCTCACCAATCTGCCCGTAGGCCATGCTGATCAGCCGCTCGTTCACAAGCTTGTCCGTTTTGGGGTTTCTGGGCTGTCTCTTCATGATGTCGCTCTCAGCTTGCTCGTAAGCCAGGGAGATGGCAGGAACCTGGGGAAGAGAAGCGAGAGAGAAGAGCGTGAAAGTTGTCAGATACCAAGAAACTGACAGCATGACGCTTTGTTATAAAGTCCTTGCCCCCTCCCCTTTAAAACTGGTTTTCATACCATGAGATGCTGTTACCAGGCCTATTTAAAAAAAAAAATAATAATGCTGCTATCTGATAAGTGGTGTCGGCTGCCCGGAGGACCGGGAACACAGCTTCCTGGGGGCTGAGGCCGTGACGCACGGTGAGTATCACTTACGCCCAGCCTGACTGGGCGACGCAGCGGCGGGTGAGCGAGGGGGGCCGAAAGCTGCCGTGCCAGTCACTTACTTACCATGTCCGTGCCCAGGTCAATGCAGAGGATGGTGACAGTCCCCAGGGGTAATGGAATGTTTGCAATAATAAATATCAGGAAGGGGGTGATCTCTGGAATGTTACTGGTCAGGGTGTAGGCAATGGATTTCTTCAAGTTATCAAAGATCAGACGACCTGGGAAAAGCAAGAGGTTGGTTCTGTTTTGGCTTTTTACTATAGAGCTTAAAGAGATGGGCAGTACCGGGATGAGTTTCTGGTGAACACTTTAAACACAGTGCTCGCTCACCTTCTTCTACTCCAGTTACAATTGACGCAAAGTTGTCATCCAGAAGAATCATGTCTGCAGCTTGCTTAGACACGTCGGAGCCAGCAATCCCCATAGCAACCCCAATGTCTGCCTTCTTCAAGGCTGGAGAATCGTTCACGCCATCGCCAGTTACAGCTACGATAGCCCCCTGCCAGAAGAAGGGAGTGGGTCTGTTAAGAGCCACACGGTCCAGGGCAGGAGGCACACGGGGCACACGCCTCAACTTGCCTCTCCTCGCTACAGACCCTGCCCCTTTCCTAGGAGACTCTCAGCGGGCGCAGAACTGGCTCAGCCAAGAAGCCACCCAGCCACAAGCTGACCACAGATCGAGGAGTGATGACAAATGTATCCCCTCCCCTTACTAACAAGAGCTCCTCAAAGCCAGGACTTCGGTGAGTGTACCTCTGGAAAACCCGATTCCTTTAAGGTCTTTCCGAGGTATGGGACGAGAGTCTCCTGGCTACTCACATCCCCCGTGTAGACATGAGGAGCCTGGACTGCTATTCCAGGCCAAGTGTGGAGCCTCAGACTCTGGGCCACGGTGAAGACGCATGTGGTCCAGTGTGTGGCTCTGCTGAGCCGTTATCCGGTTCCCCTTTTCTCTGGAGCCATGCCTGGAGCTTTTTACCAGCACACAGGCAGTGAGTCTAAGAGACGTCGGGCTGTGGTTCCCGCCCTGGAGCTGCGACCACAGAGGTCAGCAGTGCCCGAAAGAGCCAGCCCTGGCTGCCCGCTAACCTGTCTCTGGCAGCCTTCCACGATGATAAGCTTCTGCTGAGGAGAGGTCCTGGCAAACACGATCTCCGTGTGGTACTTCAGAATGTCATCCAGCTGCTCAGCGGTCATGTCCTTCAGGTCGCTTCCATGTACCACGCAGGCCTTGGCATCTCTAGGATCAGGGCGGGAAGAAAGATCCCCCATTGCTTCCCCTGCGTGATGCTCCTCACCAAGGGGGGAGGGGATGTTCAACTATGCAGAATGCTTTGTACAGCAGCCCACGGCCGGAGGGGATCTTCCCCATCACGTAAGAGCTGTTATCTGGGCAGGGGTCCACAGGTTACAAAGCATGTTCATACATATTAGATCAGGTTCAAGACGCACAACCACCTGCGGGGCAGCCTGCCTTCACCTTCCTTTCCCGATCTTTACAGAGGACACACTGAAATGGTATAACCAAGTTCTAGACAGTAGATCAAACCCTCTCATAGCCCCAAGCTGGGTGAGGGGGCCCCATACTTTAACAACACACCAGGACAATACTGCTTTGTCTCTGTTACCTTCTGTACTTTACTGCCCAAATTCCTTTCTGGCCTGAACTACCTGGACAAGTTAGTGTGGCCCTGGAAACAGACTTGGTGCTAGGTGTTAGGTCATATGCTCTGTGATTAATACCATGAAATCAGAGGCTCGACTGCAGAGTATACCGTATGATGAAGCTTCAGCTTCCCTGCTCTGCAAAGTGGGACTAACACCTGTCTTCATAGGTTACCGCTTAAGTGCTGAGAATATGTAAGCACCACCTAAGTGTTAGCTATAATGACTTGCTCTCACTGAAAGCCTCTCCTGGAAGGACCAGATTGCCTACTGGAACTGTAGGGGCCTTCCCTATTCAGATCAAGCCTAGAAGCAAACCATCATGCAACCAAGCTGATGATTCCCAACAACCACCATTTGTACATTTAAGGTAGACCAGGCTGAGCTTCCTGCCTTACCTGGGGTTCACCTGGCTCACTGGGATGTTGAGGCGGGCAGCGATGTCTTCCACAGTCTCATTGCCTTCTGAGATGATGCCCACACCTTTGGCAATGGCTTTGGCTGTGATTGGATGGTCTCCAGTGACCATGATGACCTGCAATAAGAAACAGGGCAATACTGAATGCAGCTGCCTAAGTAGGCAAGAATAAATATTAAGGATGCTTCATCTTGGACTATCAAAAGGACGGGAATGCAAACCTAAAACTCATAAACATTAACCAAAAATACAAACATACACCTGTTTATGGAAAACACAAAGCAACATCCAGATCTTATCTTGGCATATGATCATATAAGATAACGTAACGTCTGTTTTTCCTTTTACACAGTCATGTAAGAAAACTCAAATTTACTAAAACCCGCAAAAAAAAAAAAAAAAAAAAGGTAAAAATGTGATGCTGATCGGACTACAGGGCAAAGGTGCCCCACACGGCTGGTCAGCATCCCCAAAGTGACCCGATTTGGGAGAGAGCATAAATATGTAAAAAGAATTCAAAACCTTGTTACTGCTTTTCTGACCCGATGATTATATTCAGAAGACCACACTTAAGAATATAGTCAAAGTGTTTGGGGAATCATTTTTACAAAGCTTTTCGGGGCGGTATTACCAACGAGCATGAGAGAGTGGAAACAAATCAGACAGCCAGCACCAAGGCAGGCTAAACAAACCGCCCCGTTATCAGTGCACTTGAACAATGTTCCGTGACTTAAAAAGACAGATACAGAGGACACCAAACATTCATTAAAAAACCAGTTAACTGAAAACAGAGAAGACCAGCTATTCCCAGCATGAAGTAGATCAATTGAGAATGTGAGTATTTCAAATGTAAAACCTTACACCAAGTCTTTTTGCTCTTTTCAGTGATTTTTAAGCTTCCATTTCTTTCCCCCCAAATCTGTTGTTTTTTTCTTTTGAATCTCTCATCTGCTGTGTACACCAACATCTTAATACCATTTGGCCTTTTCTGGTGGTAACCAAAGCTTTGGAGATAAGAAACTCATCCTCCTGGTGAGAAAACTGAGCTGGCCCCATGTGGCTGCCGTGGGGCCACGTGACTAAGCACCCCACGTGACTCCCATGGGGCCACGTGACTAAGCAGGGTGCCCCGAGGCACACTGCACACCTACCTTAATACCAGCGCTGCGACACTTGCCCACGGCATCAGGGACGGCGGCCCGCGGAGGGTCAATCATGGAGATAAGCCCCACAAAGCAGAGGTTTTCAACAGGGAAATTCACCTCATCCGTGTCAAACTGGAACCCTTCAGGAAACTGTTCGTCGGGCAGAAAGAGGTGGCAGAAACCTGCGAGGGGGGGTGGTGTGGGGGGTGGTCTGTGAGGACCTCACCGATGGAGGTGGCCCAGGAAAGAAGCCACTGGTCATTCAGACGGTCTCCCTCTGGCTCCAGGTTGAGTTTGGAATATTGTTTCAAGGTCTAGTTTTAAAACCATGAGGTTTTATTTAACATGTACGGATGCTATGGGGTGAGAAAAACCATGCAGATGACAAGAGTCCATCACCAAGCCTTAAAGGAAGCGCCCCGTCCAGCATGGAGAAGACAGAATGAGGACAGGACTTCTGAGCACTGGGGCTTCAGGGTTCGCGACCTTCCCACTCAGGTGCTTAGAGTTGGCAAATCACATAATTATTTGTCTCTGCTTCTTTCCTTAGAAAAATTGAGCCCCCATCTCTGCTCACTCTTCATCTAACCAAAATACATGACTGCCCACCAGTGAGGGCCAGCCTGCAAGCTATTTTGAGGGTAAGTACAAAGCAGACACATTCTGCCCAAGGCGCTTATCACACAGTATCGTTACAACAGGATCATGACATTCCAGGGGTTGTTGCAAAGTGGTATGAAGGTTACAATGTTCCTTAAAGTGGCAGGAGGTGGCTTGTGGGTTCATGGAAGAGAGAATGCTTCTACTTTGGGCCTGGAGACATGGGGAAACGACACTTGACCGTTGATTTTTCAGTCGAGAGAGACATGAGAGAGACACCTCAAATCAGATGAGGGAGCGGGTATGAACCAGAGCATGGGCCCGGGCAATCAGTTCTGAGTTACTCAGCTAAGCGGAACAGGAAGAATTACACCAATGATGGCTTTTTATCTGTCCGCCTCCAAAATAGAGCCAAGGCTGCTTTCTCAATTACGTTATACAGTGAGCATCACGTACTTCTCATCTGCCCTGGCTGACATACTCCAAGGACAGGTAGCTCCCTAGATGGCAAGTTTACTGCCAATGTCATTCGTGAGCTGACGCATAACCTCCGGTGTAAATTCACAACTGTTGTGCCAGTCAGGAAATGGTTTTACTCTGGGAATTAATTTTAATTTCATTAAGTTTGTAGGTCATAGTCCTAGCAACAAAGGTTTGATAATAAAGCTCTTCCCTATTTTTTTTTTTTTTTCAGGCAAACAGAACTGACCAGCATGAGACCAAAGGTCTAAGTACGAATCAGAAGCAAACCAATAGGATTTTGTTGCTCAGAGGCCCCAACACACCAAACATCTCTCCAGCCCTTCCTATTTTCAAAATAGGGGAACAGATCAAGGAGGAGGAGGAATCCTCTGGAAAGGCTTCAGGGAGGTCAGGACACTGTGCAGATGTGTACCAGACTGACAGCCGTGCTGCTGGGTGTCCACGTACCTAGCACTCGCTCTCCAAGGCCGCCCAGCTCCAGGTAGGCGTTCTGAAAGGCATCCTTCAGCTCCTCATCCAGGGGCTGCTCCTTGCCGTGCAGGAGGATGGAGCTGCAGCGGTCCAAGATCCTTTCTGGGGCACCCTTCATCACCAACAGGTGTCGGGGCTCAGACGTGTTGAGGTTCTTGTGGATGGACAGCTGTAAAGGACGGTGGACATGAACGCCGGTGGCTGCGTGTGGCGGTCGGAGCGGGGAGCACAGCTCGCTCACTACTTAGTATGTGTCAAGACAACCACCAAGGTCTCCTATTTCTGAACTCTGGTGTCCCACGGCTTGCAGCATACTTTGAATGCTACCCAAAAAACCAGCACAGTGATGTCGTTCTAAATCCCTGGCACGTGTTCATACGTAAACCTTTCCTGAAGGTAAACTGGGAACAAAGGGATGGGCACATGCGTGGACACCTCGCCCCCTCGCCGCACCCGCACTCCAAACCAGAAGTAAGAATTCCAGAGGGCCCCAACACTCAAACGACTTAGGATTTTCTATACCTAGTCCAGGGCAAAATCTAAGAGCTTGCATAAAGTTGGGAGAATTCATTTTTTGAAAGCACTTAAGCTTGTAACATTTCAAATGGGAAAACAGCTCTCCTTCTGGCTTCCATTCCTCCCCGCCTGCCCCTCGCCACCACTAGGCCACCTGGTACTTGTTGGTGGAGTTGAAGGGGATCTCCACGATCTTGGCGTATCGCTCTCTCATCTCCCTCACTGAGCCACAGCACACCTCGATACATTTCAAGAGCGCGGACTCCGAGGCGTCGCCTGCAACTGCCCGCTGCAAAGCAGAGACAACATCTGTGGGTCAGCCTGAAACGCTTCCCCCGGGCACCACTGAACACCAGGGAAGTCACCCGGATGTACTCCGACCTGGTCAGAAGTGGAGGACAGGGCAGGCCAGGGGAAGCAGCACTGTGCAGCGACTGGCCTCCCTCTGCTCAGACACACACCCCAGCCGCCTCCTCCTGTCTGCCCTCCTTCCCCACCCCAATTCCAGCTTTTGGTAGAAGAGGGGCACCTGAAGGGGTCACCCACCCTTGGGAGGAGCACAACACACTCTTCTAACCTACTTTAGCCTTTTTTTTTTTTTTTTTTTTAATCTTCCCCTGTTGCAAAGTCTCAAAGCCAACACTATTCCCAAGGACGTATTTTTGGTTATGAATCTGAAAATACCAAGTGAGAATCCAAATATTTACAGCACCTACAATTTAAAAGAAAATCCCTTCGGTTCCCAGGACTGGGGGCAAACTGTGTCAAGGGCAAAATAGAGGGCTTTAAACATAATTGTGCAAAATTATCTGGGCCTGAGTGATGTGAACTGAAAGCTATTATTAGCTCCAACAGTCATATAATCAGCTAACGTTTTAAGTTAAAGCCCACACTTGAGGTAACACATACTTCTCTTTGGTGTGATATACTGGGACACACTAAGAACATTTTCAGCTGTAGCCAACTTTTATATGAACACCTGAGAACTCTGACTGCTTTAGGACTGCACAGACAGAAAATTAATGCTCGCAAATCCAATAGCCCTGTTTAATAAGAAAGATGGCCAGGTTTGGGAAGAAATGTGAAATTAGTGGGATCATTTTAAACAAAGACCAGTTATTAAAGCAGAATAGAGCTGCATGCCTTTGGGGGGGGGGGGGAAGGGCAGTAATAATGCCATTGACACGGCCCCACCCCCTGAAATACTCAGAAATACAGCCCATGCTCCCTTTCTGGTACTTTTCAATGGGGAAAAATCTGATACCTATTGAGTCCTATGCTGAAAGCCTAGAAGATTTCCACTTTGAGGTAAGGAAATACATGAAAGCAGGCATCTCAAGTTTTATCCCAGGATAAACAACATCCTCCTCCAATCAACATTAATTCAATGCCAAGAACACCTCCTTCAAAGGATACAGGGGTCCCATCTTCATAGGAGAAGCCCCCTCAGTTCCATCTAAGTAAGCCTTCTTTCTCTTTGATGGCCCAGTTTCTACCCAGAACCACCCCCGGCAGCCTTGCTGAGAACAAGCGAGCCTGGAGGGCCTCCTCACACACGTCTTCTGCATCCTAAACAACCCCGTGCGGCTATGACCTTTCCGAGACTGTCTCCACCGGGCAGCACAGTGAAACCTCAGTCATTTCATATTTCACATGAATTCCATGAGGCTGAGCTTATTTTTGCATCATTAGTAAGCAAGCGGAGAACAAATAAGATAAGAGAAATAGCTAAGCTATTTTAAGAAAATAAATGGCTTAAGGGATTTACTGGAATCTACTGTATCCTAATATGCAAATACGATTATCGAGTCACAAAAGCAGCCCTCACTGTCTGCTAGGTTAGCGGGTTATCATACACTCAGAGTGGCAAAAGCAGGTTTTATGCATTCGGTTTCTCACGGTAAAGATTGCTTCCCACCTCTGGTCAGTTTTTACTGTAGAGTCCCTCTTCTCGAACCTATGCAGACCACAGGGTAACCCTAAGTGCTTTGGGATCCCTAGGCAACACGTCACACGGAGGGTGTCCTACAGGGAGTGGTTCCCTAACAGGACGCAGAGGGCACATGGTCTTCAAAGAGAACGCTCGGGTGGTGGTTCTTGTGGGGTACTTAGAACCGCACATGGCGGCCTAACAGCTAACAGGAACTCCTGAGCATACCTTAAGGATAGGTAGGTTTTCCTGGTTTGCCTGAAACACCGCCCTATTACAGAGACCCGCAATTCTGGAAAGAGAGAGCCAGGTGGCTGAACTCTTGTCAAATGAGACACCTGATGGAGGCAAGAAAAAAAAAAGATAGGAAAATAATGCATTTCCTTTATATTAATGTCCCATGAAAAGTGAAACAATACATCTCATTTCCCGACTAATGAAACTAATCAGGTCTGAGGGCAAAATCGAGAGAAATCTAAAACCCATTCCCTTAACTCCTCACCAAATGATAAAAACAAAAACCAAAACCAGCTTAAAAAAAAAAGGAAGCCCCATGAGCAGGTAAGGCTACAGTGTGGGGTGGGCCCGGGCCTCACCACTCTGATTCTCCGTTGTGTCGGCTTCATGGATTTGATTGTCGAACCACATGTGGGCCACTGTCATCCGGTTCTGAGTCAGAGTTCCAGTTTTATCCGAGCAGATGGTGGACGTGGACCCCAAGGTCTCCACGGCTTCTAAGTTCTTCACTAAGCAGTTTTTCCTTGCCATGCGTTTGGCAGTAAGGGTCAGACATACCTAAAAACCATTGGGAACCAGATTATTTCAATCTCAGCCAGGATGGGATTCTATACAGACTCTGGCTCCATCCTAATGTGGAAGATGCTGGTCTAAAATTAAGCCTCTCTGGCCATCCTCTGAAGTCTGAACCCTGATGGGAACATGTACAGAGGGCCTTCCCTCCTCCCATAAAGCAACAGATTAAGAAAAGTGAAAACAGCCAGGATTTACCATATTGTAGTTCTCCTGCTCAGCACCCCCCTCCAATTCTTCTCCTTTGTTACACTACTGTGGAGCATGTGATAAGATCAGATCAAGATTTAGGCCTCTTTAGGCTTTGGGGTTTCTATCTTCCACGTAAAAAAAAAAACACGCCAAGCCTCCTCGCTCTCTGACCCTACCACACGGCTCCGAAGAGAAACCGCACACAAGCGCGTGCG